TATACTATGATATGACACGAAATGAAACTGTTAGGAATAAAGAAGACTCTTTATTGATATCTCATTGATACATGAGTACATATATTTAAGGGGGTTTTCATAGAAACCACCTTTAAAATAAAGTCATTCCACATAAACCACATTTGATTTTCAATTTATACATAAACCATCTTTAAAGCATTTTTTGTTGCAGTCAACCAACTGGACTCACTTTTAAGTAAAATACTTCTTTCCAGTTTTTTCTCCAATAATTAGTTGTCAGATACTAAGTTTAGAGAGATGGTCCTGGATGGAGGTTAGGTGGGATCAAGTACCAAAAAAATAACTAAAAAATGGACCGAGGTGGCTGATTGCAACAAAAAATACTTTAAAAGTGATTTATGTACAAGTTGAAAATTAAAGATGGTTTTTATAGAACGGCCCTATTTTAAAGGTGGTTTCTAGGGTGGGGGGGAACCTATATTTATTTATAATAAGATATGACACCCATTATAGAAAGTCTCAACATCCCCCTCAAACTCATGGTGCGATGAAAACAATGAGTTTGGATAAGAGTCAAAACTGCCAGGATATAAGAGACTCGATAGAAGAGTCAGAGCATAGTATAGGATAATAATCGAACAATACTGATGAAAAACCCAACGGCAGTTATATCAATGATGTAGGATAGGAATACAGGGGTATAAGTAGTGGAGAAATCAATGTCGATGAGATTAACGGCAAGGATAGAAATCTTTGTGCATTAACGGAGAAATCTTTGGCAATGAGATCAAACAGTGAGAATAGGAATTCTCATATATCAAGGGAGGAACTATTAGTAGTCAATATCGAGGCCGTGAAGAGAAGCTTGTTGCAAAGAAAATCTTGATGGAGGACGGTTAATGTTAATGGCATGAAGTAAAATCTTGTATAATATGCAAGTTGAGCCAAAATACTAGATGAAGCGCCAATGAGTTCATCAGAGAGGGAGTTCGACAAAAGAGGCCAGCGGCGAGACGACATTACATAGAACATCAATGGCAAGAAGAAGATAACGAAAGTCATCGCCATAGAAAACATTGAAGAAGCAGGTGAGTCGAGTTAGTTTGAGCGGAAAGCACGCTCAAATAAAAAGAGAGGTATGGCTGAGAATTTTTCTTTAGATCACCATGCATAAAACTATCTTTTAGCGGTTTTGGATTTGGTTCTGCAGCAATGCGAGGCAGAGTTGCATGGTGCAATAGAAGAGAAGTATGACGTTAAAACAAACAAGAATGGTGCAAGGAATTTGACGTTGTGGCCTCTTGCTGCCCAGAAGGTGTAGGGACTTGAGACTAAAGATGACTATTTACTATGAATGCAGCTTTCATCAAGAACATCCATTTGAGGATTGAACCATTGACCATCAAACTCATGAAGTGTAAACAGTCCAAGATTGTTCAGAGTACAAGAGCGCCTTGTTACCCCATTGACCGTCAAACTCATGGAGTGGAAACAGCCAAGATTGTTTTCAGTACAAGAGTGCTTTGCATGGTGCGATAGAAGAGAAGCACGACATCAAAACAAACAAGAATGGTGTAAGGTACGTCGTGTTCTCTTGCTGTCCAGAAGGTGTAGGCACTTGAGACTAAAAACGACCGTTTATTATTAATGCAGCTTTTAGCAGGAATATCGATTTGAGGATTGAAGATATCCCATTGATTGTCAAACTCATGGAGTGTAAGCAGCCCAAGATTGTTTTGAGTACAAAAGCACCTTGTTAGGGATGCGAGACTCGAGTTTGGCGTCGAGATTCATGGCCCAACTCTTGGCAATATTTTGATAAGTGAGAGCCAGTGGTTGGAAGTGATAGTGACAGTGCTAGTCGGAGTAGAGTAGGCTAGCGTCAGAGATCTCGCTAGAGAGGAGACGCTCAACAGAACGTGGTGGCTTGTGTTGCCGTCGAGAGAGGAGAAGGGTGACAGACAACGAAGTCATCAAGGGCAGCGATGAAGTCATGGTGGAGAGCGGCATGAACACTGCAACTGTAGTGCGACTAGGGTCTGAAGATCACTAGAGTTTGATCTAGGGTAAATTAAAAGAGGCATGGAGGGGTGGCAACGACAAAGAGTGGAGATTGAACTCAAGGATGGTGATAATTCGTCGATGATCTTGAAGCCACCAACGGGAATCAGAGAGATGATGTTTGTGGCAAAACCCCCTTGGCAGTTCCAAGACTAGGAACAAAGCGAGGTCTCCAGGGCTAAAACTCTAACTCTGATACCATCTTAGGAATAAGAGAAGACTCTTTGTTGATAACCTCATTGATGCATGAGTAATTATATTTATATTTATAATATGAGAGAACACAAAATATATAAAGCCTCAATAATAGGTAGGAAATAAGGAAATACACATTATCAAATACATAAGTTATTTGCATAATGAGACTATGCTACTACAATTAACATATATGAAAAATGGATATGAGGTGGCAACTCCTTTAGCAAAATAAGCTATCAAGAGATAATTAGTGACATCCCAACTCGCTAGACACATTGAAAGGTTTGTGTTCATCACTCTATCTCTTAATAGCTCATTTTGCTAAATGAGCAGCCAACTCATGACCATCACCTTAATACATTATCTACTGAAACCATGTACTAAGAAACCCTACTTTGATAAATTTAAAATAAAAATCATTGTATGAATATGTTATTGAAACTGTAGTTTCTGAAACCATTTTAATATATTAATGTATGCATACAAACCATGATTTCATTTAAATTAAACAAAGTTATTGTTTCCAAAGCCATTTTGCCAAACTAAGCTACAATGCTAAGGCTAAGAGATGTAAAACAACATGCTAAAGGTTGAAACAACGTATGGTTGCTAGTGCTACAACTTCAGTCAAGCTTCATTTGTTTCTATTTCTAGATGCTCAAATGTAGTAAACTTTCTAATCCCAATATTCATATGCATGGTAGCACAAACAAAAATCCGATTCCAACTTGTAAATGTCTACACAAAGTAGTGAAGTACACATATTACTCCCAAACCTTGATAACCTCCAGATTTGTCATAAAAATATAAGCTACAGTGTCATATCCGTATGTGCACGGGGTTTCACCCAGCTCTAACACAAACAAAGAGTATAACTATGGAAAATAGTAATATGACACTCATAAATTGGTCTATCAAGGAAGTGTATAAATGTAGACAAAGCAAGCATCTGAATAGAAAGAATATGTTATACATATTGACAAAGTTACAAGGCATTTTATATCTTCTCAACTGAGAACCTAGTTCCATCATGGGTATCAGAAAATGAATCAGTTACCAAAGCCTATGTCAAGTGAAAACTAAAGACGGTGGATATAGAATTGTAACTCAGAAATAAGTTAACCTATCTCTTGCTAGCAAGCGAAAAAGTAGTGCATGAGAAGATAACTCATTTTACACCAGCCTAAACAGGAGGCGGAAAACAAAATAGGAAGACCTAGTATGTTAACCTACTGTAGTGTATCAAGTCAACTAGGAGAATAGAAACAGCTACAACTATGACATTGTCAATAGGACACTAGCATAAAAAGTGAAGTAATGCTTCTTATAGAAAAAGAGCATGGGTGGCTACCAAACATGTGGATAGAACACTAGTAAAGCCAATAAAGAAAATCATTTGATTACAAGTTAAGAGCATGTTTGGGAACTTTGGATTATAATCCACAGTGTTTGGTAAATTTGGATTAAAATCTGTTTTCAATAGTAGAGTGTTTGGCAAATATGTGGATTATAATCTACCATTGTCGTCAAAATGACCAAAAAGAGCATGTTGTTGGTGATGAATTATTAAACGAGGCCTGAGATTTTGTAAAATCATGAGGGGTATACTTGTCTTCTACTTGGTCAACCTCATGGATTATAATCCACCAAAAAATAACCTGGGATACCCCAGGTTACAGGTTATTTTTTTGTGGATTATAATCCAAAATAATCCACTAGCCAAACATATAATCCGCTTTTGTTGATTACAATCCAGTTGGACCATTTGCCAAACATGCTCTAACTCAAGCTATTCCATAAGGCAACAGACGTTATAAGATATGGATGAGAAAAGAACCCTGGAATCTGTTCAAGAGCCTTCAAATGAAACTAAAACTCATGCATCTACATCCTAAATTTCTTCGTTGCACAGAGACAATTTCTAAGAAACACGCATCGCTCAAAAAAGAAAAATGCCCACACCCAAAGGTGCGTGACCAAGAAGGCTCCTACAAATGGCCAAAGCATATAGCTTATAGAGAACAACAGGAAATATGTTTCTGAGATTTGGTTAACTAGAAAATTTCATGAAACCGTGCATATTAATATAGGAGTATAACGATTGGATGTAGTATGCATGCGCCTTCTTAGTAAAGATCAAACGCAATAGCCTTAATTCTCAGCGGGATGTTTTGAATATCGATATTGACTAAAACTATGTACATTGTAAAATGAAGGATAAATGTGAATGAACAGAAAATAGAGATTTTAACAACTGTGAGGAAATCATACTCAGATATAAATTAGCAGATTAGTTCAAAAATACAGAATCTGAGTCAATGTTTAGTAGACTGGTAGAAACAAACTGAAACTGATAGAATCTTGCCTTTTCCATAAATTTTCCTATTGCTCAAACTCAAAGTGAAAATTGATGGCTGTAGATTATTGAAGTTCTCGACCCATATGACATGAACTCAAGGAAAATGTGCATTATAGTAGATAGAAGTTTCACACGCTTGAAGACATTGTCTAAAATTTCATAGCCCAAAGGTTTATTAGTACATCTATGTTAATCGAAAGAAATTGCAAGCTATCATAATGACAGCAGATATTCATGTCAGTCGAAAAAATAGTAGCATGACTGTAACCAGATTTATGTTGTGTACAAAAATAATTCTAGAAAAACTGATAGAAAACCAGGAGCTAAGGTTTAAAATTTTATATCCCTATCCACCATCACATTCAAAAGGCAAGTGTTGTCATTGCGAACATCCAAACCGGAGATATCAAGGAGGAATCAATTCATTTAAAGCAAACATTTTGTTTAGCATAAACGCGTGTCCAATAAAGGTAACTAAGTTTTTGCATATGAATCACGCCAAGTGTCATCATATCATAAAGCACACCAAGATGACCAAATAACATATTACGAAAAATTCTCACTTACACTCAAGAATCACTTAAGAGGCATCAGCAGCAGGCTGTGTCACTCCAGACTTCACTAACAACTTACCAAGTGCTTCCGGGGCGCAAACCTCATACTTCACCTCCCCTGAAGGTAACAAGAAGACCTCAGCAAGCTCAAGCTTCTCTGCAGTAAGGCTCGTGCTATCCATTGTCTTACTGAGCACCTTGAGAGCAAGCCCAACCGCCTCCTCCCTTGTCATCTCCTCCTTATAGTCCTGCTTCAACATCGATTGTGCTGCTTGGTTATTTCCACCAATTGCAGCTGCCTTCCAACCCGCATAATTACCACTTGGGTCACTCATATAGAGCTGAAACCCATAGTTCTTATCCCACCCAGCAAACAAGAAGGACACACCAAACGGGCGGAGCCCACCAAATTGGGTGTACCCTTGCTTGGTATCACAAAGGGACTGAACCAGTTGTTCAACAGGCATCGGCTCTTGGTACGAAAAGACATATCTCTGGGCTTGGACCCGAGCAGTATTAATGAGAATGTTGGCATCAGACATGATACCAGCAACAGCACAAGCAACATGGTCGTCAATCTTGTACATTTTTTCAGTGGTTTTCGAGGTCTGGAGAAGCTTTGAAGTCACCTTCTTCTCACCGACGAGGACTACACCGTCCTTGGCTAGAATGCCAATGGCAGACCCAGCATTGCCAATTGCCTCCATTGCATACTCAACTTGGTAGAGACGACCCTCAGGGGAGAAGATTGTGGTCCTGCTATCATATCGACGAGACATTCTGGAAGTACACTATAGCATGTAGGAGAATCATTTAATAAATATATAAGATAACATGAAACAAACCATTATCAAATTGTAAATAGCAACAAGAAGCTCGCTTTTCTTCTCTGAACCACGGAAGGCAACAAAAGGAATAAGTTTAAGTTAAAAAAAATTACATAATAAACTTGAGTTATTGAGCAGAAATCTCATCTCCATGAAGAGTACAAACTTCCAATAATTTTTTCTGAAAGAAACAGAAACCAAATTCCAATTTAATTAAATAACTGATGCATCTGTCTCCTTAATACATCACCAACAAAACTACTTCACAATTTCACTCAAATAGCGCGAAATCCAACTACGATCTACATAGTTCATAACCCTAAAAGCTACTTTTTCCGCTAAGATATAAACTTTATAAGGGTGAATTCTAATAAAAGTTTCAAAATTGACGATTAACGGATCGCTTTTACGAAACTTACAGGAGACTAGAGATTTGAAGCCCTAAAACTTTGCACGCGAAAGGGGAAATGGATGGAGAAGAAACCCTAGTTCTCACCTGAGCGAGCGAGAAGAGAGAGAGCGGCTCCGCAAATACGAGACCGCGTTTGCGGCCGACGTCTCAGTTAGACTTGCAAAGTTTTTGGATCGGGTCGGACGGGCTTTAGTTATGTTTTGTAACCGAATCCGAGATCTCGATGCGGGGTTGAGACCTTCTTTAAGGAGTGAGCTTCAATCGGTTTGAACAATTAAATTGTGACTAAATTGATCTAATTTCGGTGGTTTAGTTTGTTGTGTAAGAAATGGAGAGAAATATACATCGGATCGAAGTTCCGATCTGTAGCTAGTGATGACATGTTTGGATCTTGACAGTGGAGGGAACTACGACGGATAAGACTCCTCCGTAATGTTCACGACCCACACAACAATCTCAGATCAATTCTTCTTGAGCATGCTGCCAATTTGAATATGTGGGGTTATGTATTATGATACCAAGCATTCATCCACATCTATAGGGAATACTTTAACTAAAGGATAAGACCAACCAACTAATAGCTAAATCTCCAATGACAAGTGTAAATCATAATGAGATGTTTGATCGTATCAATATTAACTAATTGGGTAGTTATCCACAAGATAAAATCTCAACAACCCATATTTAATTAGATATCACAGTCCACTGAGGGCGCCAATATCCATACTTCCACTCGATCGAAAAGTGGGTTGCGACATTCTGAATCGATCATAGGGTCCATATGTGTGTTGTGTTGTGCGACCATCGAGACAACTTGCAATTGGTGAGCTTTATCCTACAAACTTTTATAAAGAGCGAGCATAGAAATATCGACCCCTTTGAGATAAAAAATAAGATAGAGTCTCATATAGCATATATCAAATTGTATCTCTAGTCCGAGTATCTTCTAATCTCTCTTAGAAGAAGCATACTCAACTATTGCAGAACTATGTGGTAAGATCCACACTTTGTCAAAAATAAAGCTCCGGGTGCAGACTCATTACCGAAGTGGATGCGTTAGTGATCTTCCTCTCGCACTACTACTGATTCGATCTAAGAACAGCTACTTTCCCAATCACCTCCCTTTAGGCTGAATCTGTCATGGCCATAGGTGAAGAGTCGAAGTAGCAACACTGCTTCCAAAGCTTCATAATAGGGTCGAATATCACTAAGGGTATAAGCGGAATAAAAAATATGCTCCATATGATTTTAGCTTCACAAGGCAACAAAGAAGAGATCCATTTCCATACCCAAAAATCATGAAGTCACCAAGCATATGTGGTAGGATCACGTGCTACGATGAAGTAATGCTCCACTGGAGAGATGTATTCATCTCTATGTTGCGCAAATCTTGACCTAATCAGCAAACCGATCACACTTAGGATAATTTGCCTCCCACTTGGCAAGCACATTATCACATCTAAGCAGAGTCTAAACACATCTGGCTTTGAACAAGTTGCAACGAATCCTGCAATATTCATTGAGTCGATCATTCTCAAGAATGATTTCATCTCGATTCTCAATGAAGTCTCGTTCATGAATGCAACCCAATACAAGTGCATCTCATAATCTCTCTCATTATCAATGTAATTCATGACGCTTTCATAGCCATCTCATCTTTGCTTGCTTGGTAATAGTGTCAAGGGTAACTGCTCATGTGAGTGAGACAGACTTTTTAACCTGTTTGAATATCTTTAATTATTTTACTTATTATTTTATCAAAATAATGTTTTATAATAGCTTATAGCATTCATATATAAGTCTAAAGAAAAATGAATGTCATAAAAGCCAACCATAAAATCATTCGAAATGCAAGAAAAAATGATCAAGTGTACGTAACTAAATACACAGTATTAATACACACGTAGACCTAAAAACCTAACATGAGTTCTAGATAACTTAGCAGAGGGAGGCTTCATTAGTGGATCAACAACCATACACTCGGTAACTATATACTCCAAGATCACTTCCTCTGAACGGTTCCTTATAAAGTTGAACTTTATATCTATATGTTATTCTCAACCTCATTCAAGTAATGATGAAAGCAAGCTAGTGCTTTTGCCTTGTGGGAGATCAAGTAGACATGACCATATTGTTAATAACCATATATGAAGGTAATTAAGTAAGAGGCTCCAGTCTAAGACTTCACACTTACTGGTCCTCAAATATTAGAGTGGATCAATTCTAATAATGGAGATGCACGTTTAGCTATTCCAAGTTTTCTCTTAGTTTTGCCTACAAGATATGGCTCATAAGTTGGCAAGATGACCTTAGCGAGCAAACCAAAAACTCCCCTCGATCTAAACATGTCATCCGTTCAAACCCTATGTGTCCCAATCTAGCATGTTATCTTATAGAATCATTTAGAGAATTAGAGTTTGCCTAACAATATGACAATCATGTCCCCTAATAAAAATTTTATTTTTATTAAAACGAATGTCCTAACCAAAATGAAATGACTTAGACACCGAAAGGGAATTTTACCTAATTTTTGGGAGATGCAAGACTTTAGGAAGGAGCCAGGCGTTTCCACCTCCCAAATCCAACTAGAATTTGCCAATACCAGCAACTTTCATGCTCGAATCATTTCTCATTAAAAGTCATTTGTTTCCCATTAAAAGCGATGATATTTCACAAACCCATCATTGTTTCAAGCTACACAATCTGCGGCCCCCAAGTCTACAACCCATAAATTAGGAGATTTGGTAAGAGCCGAGAAGAAATGACTACAAACTAGTGCATCATGTAAAGATGGAGCGAGTACTTTTTTTTTTACAGCGTGCATTTACACGCAAGATGTCTCAACTTTCTAGAGCTATGAGATGCCATTTTGGTCATCTCTTTTGCTTTTGAAACGAGACATGTTCACTCGACACCTTAAGTTTATTGTCTAGAGCAACTAAGTGATCGTAGATTACAACTTTAGTAGTCATGTCCATAAACAAAAAGACGATATTTTAGATTACTTTATAAATGAGCCAAAATAATTATTTTATTTTCACAAAAATATACATTTTAATCTTCAAAAAATTATTATGGTGAGACCAAAACTTTGCTATACTTAGAATCAAATCTCACTTTGCAAATTATTTGAGAATATCTTCAATTTATTTGTCACCAAAAATCTGGTATATTAAGGAGCCTTAGAGCTTCCACCAAATATCATCTTCCTCATTTATGTCCATTTGTAGAAAGTGTCATGTCATGCACTATTCTAGATTCGATTCTATACAATAGTGTTCTTTTTCAAATTTTATTTTCATTCTCTATGAGCCATTAGCCAAAAGAGTAAATTAGAAATTTATATATGTAGAAGCGTGACTCAACTTCATATACCACATTCTTCCCTTTTGTGCTCCAACACAACACCTCTTTAGGTATTGCAAGCCGGTGCAAGTGAAGGAGTCAGATTGATTTTTATAATAATTTGTTATAAATCTAAATGAAACTATCATCTAAGTTGCCAATAGAAATGATACAAACAAAAGAGCTTCCCAAGGTTACTACCGTTGTGTCCAAGTCTATTACACTAACTTAGCATAAGTGAATCTAAAGAATCAATTCCTATCATAGTGGGTGGAACACTCCGACGTTGTAATGATGTGTATAAGACCTTGACTCCCTTAGACCATATCATTATAGTTAACACAACATGGCCTAGCACAATCAACAGAGCTCCCAAAGACTGTCATGACATTCTAAATGCTCATATCTGTCTTCTTTAGCATTTGCATTTTTTTTAATTAAGACCTTATGTTAGTAATTTCACTATGGTTGATGTCAAACTTAATTTGGCCTTCAAACCCATCTAAACAAATAAATAAGAAGTTAAATTTTAAAAATAAATAAGAAGCTAAATTTATCATGATTTTTATCTTTATTAAATTTTCTAGATTCTATCACAATTATCCTTCAAAATTTTAATTTGAAAAAGATTTACTGTTATGGGACATATCTGTTCCATGAATATATGACATGATGAGTCAATATCTTGACCAGCCCAACAAGCCGACACTCCAGTGTCGGCCGCTCCTACAGTCGACATGAGAGATCCTGACCTCCCCAGATGAGTTGACATCTTTATTCACAAAAATATACATTTTAATCTTCAAAAAATTATTATGGTGAGACCAAAACTTTGCTATACTTAGAATCAAATCTCACTTTGCAAATTATTTGAGAATATCTTCAATTTATTTGTCACCAAAAATCTGGTATATTAAGGAGCCTTAGAGCTTCCACCAAATATCATCTTCCTCATTTATGTCCATTTGTAGAAAGTGTCATGTCATGCACTATTCTAGATTCGATTCTATACAATAGTGTTCTTTTTCAAATTTTATTTTCATTCTCTATGAGCCATTAGCCAAAAGAGTAAATTAGAAATTTATATATGTAGAAGCGTGACTCAACTTCATATACCACATTCTTCCCTTTTGTGCTCCAACACAACACCTCTTTAGGTATTGCAAGCCGGTGCAAGTGAAGGAGTCAGATTGATTTTTATAATAATTTGTTATAAATCTAAATGAAACTATCATCTAAGTTGCCAATAGAAATGATACAAACAAAAGAGCTTCCCAAGGTTACTACCGTTGTGTCCAAGTCTATTACACTAACTTAGCATAAGTGAATCTAAAGAATCAATTCCTATCATAGTGGGTGGAACACTCCGACGTTGTAATGATGTGTATAAGACCTTGACTCCCTTAGACCATATCATTATAGTTAACACAACATGGCCTAGCACAATCAACAGAGCTCCCAAAGACTGTCATGACATTCTAAATGCTCATATCTGTCTTCTTTAGCATTTGCATTTTTTTTAATTAAGACCTTATGTTAGTAATTTCACTATGGTTGATGTCAAACTTAATTTGGCCTTCAAACCCATCTAAACAAATAAATAAGAAGTTAAATTTTAAAAATAAATAAGAAGCTAAATTTATCATGATTTTTATCTTTATTAAATTTTCTAGATTCTATCACAATTATCCTTCAAAATTTTAATTTGAAAAAGATTTACTGTTATGGGACATATCTGTTCCATGAATATATGACATGATGAGTCAATATCTTGACCAGCCCAACAAGCCAACACCCCAGTGTCGGCCGCTCCTACAGTCGACATGAGAGATCCTGACCTCCCAGATGAGTTGACATCTTTATATCGACTCGAGAGATGATTGTTAGCTGAGATGAGACGACGTTCCAACCAGCCGAACAGGCCAACACTCCTGAGTCGACGCGAAAGACAGTGTCGATCGATACGAGAGTCAGCAACTCAAAGATATGACCCTATGGGCTTTGCTTCTCGACGAAGCTAAAGGATTGCCCTTATCTCAAACCTGTTAGCATAGGCGTCACTTCTCAATATTATTTAATCTTTGATGATCATTATTATGTCTCCGTCCTCAACAATCTTGAAGACTTGTCGGCTGCTGACTCCCAATGCTGCCGAAGTGATCTCCCGCCACTCACAAACCAACACATGTGTAGCAAATGATGACTTATTTTCCAACTCACTCCTCATCACCGCCTCACTATCGTCTTGCTACACACTCCTGAAATGTCCAATCTGCCCTCGGCATCCCCTATAAATGCAGATGCTATTCACTATAGCCAGGAGTTCACAATCTAAAACCCCAAAGAGCACGTACTACACAAAAACAAGAACACATGGTTCTGTTACTCCTCTCAAGCTCAAGTTCATCAACGGACTTGATCGTCGGAGGTACCACGAGGGAACTTATCCCCGCCCTCTTACGACTCTTTGTGTGCAGATTGCTCAATCATCCTAAGTGCGAAATCAGACATAAAGTCGAAGAAGAAAGCGGCCCCTTGCAAACTACGTGATTTTATTTAGCTGTGTGATATTTAACATCAACATTTACATATATCAGATTTTGGATTTTTTAGAGCTTTGATAAATGATGATCAAAAAAATATTCAATCAATGAATTATAGATCCAAAAGATATACATATGTAAAAGATGTGTTCATAAACCCTAAAAACATATAGCTTGGTTACATATGCAAAACAAATTAATATAACCGTCTTCTGGGGTATACAGGAAAAAATAAAAAACCAGGGGCTTAGTTGATTCATAACCTAGTGTGAATTATAGAATATTTTTTTCAACAACCTAGTGTGCATTCTGGTCCACTTTTGTTTCACTCTTTTTATAGAATAGGAATAGACATTGAATCTGACAGGGGCAAAACTGTAAATAAAGGATTCTAAATGTATCATATTACTAAGTTTGATTCATAACAATTTATAGATTTCGAAATCTATAAAGTTGGAAAAGAGGTTTTTTTAAGGAAACCCAAATACAATGGGTTTGGGTGGAATTGGGTAAAAAAGCTGACACCACCCACTTCATTTCCCTTTCTCTTTGTTTTTCAAAATCCACCGCACCACAAACTATAGACTGGGTTTTGGCCTTCTCCTGCCTCTTCTCAATCCTCTTCCTGCCTCTTCTCGAACTGTTCTTTAATTTTTTTTTTCAAAGACGAGGCTCAGGATCGAGCTCTATTGTCGGTTGTTAGCTTCGATTTCTTTCGGTTTAGAGTTCTGTTTACAACTTCGATTCGAGCTTTGAGTTGGCTTCGGTGGGTTTGTTGCTTCGGTGGCTTGCTGTCGGTTAGTTAGGGTTCTGTTTACAGCTTTGATCTTGAGCTTCTTTGATCGGTTACGATCTTTGATTTTGATCGTTGATGCCATGTTGAGTTAGCTTTGTTGTTGCAGTTGCTGTTAGTTGATTGCTTCGTTTTTCAGCTTTGATCTTGAGCTCATTTCTTCTATTTCAAGCTTTGATTTTGAGGTTTGATCCCAAAAAATTCTCGGTTGGTTGCCTCGATTAGTTGCTTTGGTTTGTTGCTTCGGTTTTCAGCCTTGAATTACCCCCTTGGCAGATGAAGATATAAATCTATAACTCATTTAAAAAAATTAATATATGATCATGGATGGTTATTTGTCATGGTTAATTTTGTAGTGGATGTTTGATTTTGTCATGATTGATTTAAAAAAAACTAATTAAAGTTGATCTAGTTTTTTCTAAAGCACATTCCATCCCGATAGAGGACCAATTTCAAACTTACTACTAATGGTTGCCAAATGCACTATCATATCAGCAAATTATATTTTACAAATATGATCCACCCCAACGCATTTTGTTCCGCATTTAGAGGACAAATCAAAACAAACCCTTTTAAAAACTTATTTTTAAAAAACGATTTGTTTCAATTTTAATTATCAAAACCAGCCTAGTTTCAGTCTCAGGGCCCAAACTGGGTCGGTGTTGGCGAAACAAAAGATTCCCGAAAGAAAGTTTTGGGCAATTTTTTTTTGGCAACACCGATCTAGTTTGGGCCCTGAAGCTGAAACTAGCCGGTTTTGATAATTAAAGTTGAAACAAGTTGTTTTTTGTGAATATTTTTACAAAAGGTTAGTTTTAAAAATTTGTCCGCATTTAAAAATAGTTGCCCGACCAAAAGTCTGCCAAACCACTTTCCAGCCAAAAAAGCACGTGTAACTCGATCAATACCCGCCCCCCCACCCCCACCCCCCCGCCCCAAAAAACAAAAAAAAAACCATTCACCATTATACTCTCTGCCCCCTCCAAAATTCATAGAGATTCTAAAGCTCACAGATTCGCACCCAAAAAAATGGCCGCAGCCTTCTCTGAGACTACCCTGCGTTCCCGCACCGAGCGCGGCCGCGATTCCTAATCGTCCGGCGACCTCAAAAAACACTCAACACCATCCTCTACATGCAACGGCCGCCCGTCATCACCCTGCCGGAAGCCTCTCCACCCCCTCGACGCCTCATAGTTACGGCGAGCACCTGCCTAGCCTCCACCGTCGCCAGGTTCTCTCACAGGCGAGTGGGTCGCCTCCGCTGACATGTCGGGACGGTGAGGATCTGGGGGAGGCACGGCGATCGAGCGCTCAAGAACGAGTTTAGGGTCTTGAGTGGACGGATAGATGATCTACAGTGGTCGGCGGATGGGATGAGGATTGTTGCGTCCGGGGATGGGAAGGGGAAATCGTTGGTTAGGGCGTTCATGTGAGTTTTTGATTTGATCGTTTTGTGCTTTTTTTTTGATTGGTCGATTGATTAAGCTGTTGAAAGAGATTGATTTTGTAAATTTAAGAATTTGGAGGTTTTTTAGGTTTTTTGTCGATTTTTAAGGGCGATCCGCTTGGGTGCTGTTACAGAGTTAATAGGAGTTAAGGCTTAAGTGCAGTTCATGAATCTATGAATTAAAACTATTTGAAGTGCAATGTCAAACAAGTTTTCTCATCTTCGTAGTTAGTTATGATGTAATTGAAGTGTGATGTCAATATAAACGTATATTAAATGTTACTTATAGGAAGTTATAAGAAGGAAAAGAAAGCTATAAGAGTGAAAGGTGCTATATTCAACCCATTTATACTGATGATGGTTATTGATCGGGAGTTTGAATAATTCTTACTGAAATAAAAAAAAATGTACGGGTTTTGGTGAAAGAGTCCTCACATCAGTTTTCTTGGCATTTTTTGCTTTATTGGACGCTTGAGGTATAGAAGGTAGTTGGTTTGTAAATTCAAGAAATGGGAAAATTGTTTCGAGATTGATTTTAGTAGCTTGTTAGATTGCCATTAGGCTGTTTGGTTATGTGGAAAGAGAGCTTGCAGAAGCAAATACTACAACCAAGTTCATATTTCAAACTGCTTCGTTTGCAACAATGGAATTAGGAAAAGTAAATGAACTAACAATTTGTAGAAAACACAGCATTATCTATTTGAAGCCAAGCATTCCTCTTTGCCTTCTTCTTCCTTGCTCTTTTCTCCTATTGTGAGCAATTATTAGTCTTATTGATTAAACTTTGTCATTAGGTGAAATATTTCAAGAAAATTTGTTGTGGTCACTTGAAATTATGTTTGATTAATTGCTTGAGGTAAATTTAACAAAACTCAGAAAATTATGTGTTCTTAGTTGTTTTCTCGTGTCATTCCTTATTGTTAGAGGTAATGAAGGAAATAAGTAACATTAGGCAAGATATATTAGGATTATAAATTAGAGATTAAGAGATATTAGGAATGTAACTAAGAGAATAATTGTGATTAGATAATTGTGTTTAACCCCACATTGACTACATAGTAAACTTCTTGTTATTGTATCCCTATATAAAAGGTAGAAGTTGTAGCTTTTGAGATATGAATGAGAATCTACGATTTTTTATTATTTAACATGGTATCAGAGCCATGATTCTCAAAATAAAATATTAATAGTCTATTTCTCTAAACCTAGCCCCTTCACTTCTCAATCCCTAACCCTTTCTTCCTCCTCTTGGTGCATCATTGCCTCCTCGGGCCATTGTCGCCCCCTCGGGACGTCGTCGCCCTTTAGGGTGCTGGCTCTTAAGGCACCGCCCCACTGGCTGTTGCATTGCTGTCCTTC